TATATATATATATATATAATAGACATTCTGCTCAAAATTCATACAAATCTGAAATTTGGTCCCACAAAAACAAATCATTTATAATTGCGGGATTTTGGACTTGATAATTAAATCATGTATTGTATTTTCATTTGCTTTAAGAGCTTTTTTTCAGGATTAAGTAGTTCTGTTGGGCCAATTTAATATACAGAGGTTGGATCAACTGTTTACTTTACAGTCTCCTGCAAATCTTTTTGCTATAAGCTGACACATTCTGCCCCACATGTGGAATAGTCCTCCACTCTTTATTAGCCCCTTGGGGCAGGGAAAGAAGCCAAAGAATGTGGGACTGAAGGGAAAACATACTAAGTAGATACTTGAAGAGATCCCAGCTAAAGCAGTGGGTATTTTGGATTCTTGTGGGAATCGGTGATGCCCGTAATGTCCTCTATTAAAGGTAATGGCAATTGGGTCCATCAGAGGTCTACAATTTTTGTGACCTGTTTTGATAGATTGAGTAACTGTGTGGGAACATTGCAGCAGTGTGTCATTTGGGGGGAAACCTCCTGGTAGCAATTAGAAACCATCTGACTGTTCTAGTTGGACCTCGCCTCCACATACTTTCACAGAAAGTCATAGAAACACTGAAAAGGAATAAGACACTGTTTGTATTACTCAACCCTTGTCCTAGTTACACTAATTTTTGGAGTAACATTTTGCCAATGTAATAATGAAACAGTTATATTGATGCCAAAGCAAAATGCTCATTTTAATCACATTTTCAGGTGACTTACAGCACTTGGTTAAAGTTAGAAAAAGACCTGATCTTGAATAAATATTAACATTTTTGACTTTTTCAAAACCCCCATCTTTTTGTAACTTAAAGCTGTAGTAGGAAACTTTAATACAAATACATTTTTGTCACATTTTTTTTGGAAAAACTTTTTCCAGCAGAAATATTCACCTCATGCATTGATGCCCATTTTTTCTCTTCCTGTTTGAATGCCATTGTATTTGTTCTTCCGGTTAGCACTAGCGTAATACGGTACAATACAGTGCAGCAATTCGACAGAGTTTAGCTGCACTTCCAAATTGACACAAAATGGGTTTTCTGAAATGACACGCCTTTCAACAGGACTGTCCCAGGGAATGTCATAGATTTTTAACAGATCTTGAAAACTTACAGCATTTTCTTTGTAAAACCACATTACACTATATACCATAGAATGGGACCAGTATCTTTTGATAGAGTAATAAAGTGACTTAAGTTACTCATTTAAAATATGAACACAATTTTTTTTTTACTAAATTAGATTAAAAAATCACATTAAAGAGTGGACACAAATAGCCTTCAACCCACCCAGTCATCAAATTAAAGACGAAGACTAGGACTTTATCACAAAGCTAAGACAGAATAATAATTGGAATAGAAAAGTTTCAATTTAGTTGTAATAAACTGAAATTATATTTTACGATACTTCACTAATTTCACTAAGTTACCTGTTAGTAGCAAGTGGGAAGATAACAGCATGGTCCCATCTCTAAGTTATATGCCTTATTGGCTGGTCTGTCCACCTTGATCAGTGAGGATTCGAGGAGCTATAACACTGAGAAGAAGTTTCAGACAACGGTCCTAATCCCAATGGCTAGAGGTCTGGCTACATAAGGTATTTCAGGTATTTGGACAACCCACCGATGCTGTTCTTTTTGTGAGGACATCTTGCTTGGAAATTTTTTTGTAGATTTAACCCCAGCACAGTGTGGGAAGATTTAGCAATCTGTGAAACCTGAAAAGGAAACTACCTGTGCCCTGCCTCATGGAGCTGCTCACCGCTGAAACTATTGCAGTGAGAAGGAACTAGTATCCCTGGATAGTCTAATATCTCCACCATGAAAAGAATATGTTTATTTATTTATTGCATCACCATGGTGATAGTAAAGACAATTAAATAACTATTTTAATGTTGCAAGTGAAACTAAGTGACAGCTGTTTCAGATCAGTAAGGAATCTGTTTTATTGCCAGTCGTAAAGCCTTTCCTAAAGGCAAACATTTGTGGGACATTGTTATTGTTTTAATATATAAAACGTAATGAGGAACACTGTGGTCCTGAAGTCCTTTTTTAAGCTGAATACAGGTTGCTGGACATCCTGAAGATCGAATGGTTTTCTGTGCATATAAGTACAATATTATTTGTCTTAACAATCATCCATACAATAAACATGTGCCAAACATACAATTATAGAGTGAGTAGAATTTAAAGTTCCAATCTGTAACATTTCCCCATTAAAATGTCTATGAGTGCTATCTTCTATGTGTAGTTGAGTTGTGTACTTCCAT